TTATTCAACTCAGGTTTCAACAAAATAAAATATAGGAGAAAAACACATGAAAATCTCAGAAAAATCCTGCAACGGTTTGGCAGATATGCTTTTCCTGCCGGCTAGTGGCGAGAAGAGAAAAAGCATCACTAGCAGCTGTTGGGTGAAAAAGGAGGGCCCCACAAATTTTAAAATTAAGATTAAATCATAAATCGAAAATATTTAATCATAAAGAAAAGGTCACCTCACAGGAACGTTAGCTATGCTTGCTGCATCAGTTTTAAGAATAATAAAGGCAGGATACAAAACAAAAAACAAAAATATATTAAAATTAAAGAGAAAGAGCTATACTTGTTTTAAACTAACAGAGTACAAAATAGTTTGAGTAAGATGGTACCTTTTAACTTAATCAAAGCAAAATGTAATAAGAACATAAAATGTTGCTTTATCCTTACTTGCAACATTGATCCAACTGACTTCTATCTAGAAGTAGCAAATCCCAGCAATTCTTCAGGATTTCAGCAAGCTTTTCTAGCATAAAATGCAAGAATAAAATTTGTTGCATTCAATGCTCAAATGCTTTTTTCATTGTAATAGAAAGTCTTATGGCATCGCCTAGATGATGATTATATCATTTGATCCTGTTAAGTCCCAGACAGTGAATAAATAAATGTTCCTTTGGAGACCCAGGTGAGCCCACTGTACTCCACTGGATGTCATCCTACCCTGTGGGCAAGTATCTTCATAAATCTACCCAATACCAATAAATGAAAGGAAATTATGATTTATTTTCAGTGAAACACTTCATATGCACTAAGAGTAATAACGTAAGAAAGAACCTCTCAAACCTCACCTGCCAAGGAAAAACAAAAACTCCTAAAGCACATAAAATTATTACAATAGAACTGATAGTGTCAGCAAGCAGATACAAAAGGGAAACTGTTTAAGATTATTTTCTCCTGGACTTAGAAGATGTGTATCTCCTAATTAGACTACCTTGTTGATATAATCAACTTTTTGCTGCTAATCATATCCAGATGTATCAAGTGTAAATTACTGTCAATACCACTTTTTTAATTGGCTGCAAAAAAAGGCAAGAGCAATCTATAAATTGCTCTTACTAAAGGAGAGAAAGCCAACTCCACTTTGCTCAAACCATCAGAAAATTTTTTTTGGATGTGTACCTCTAATGAGTAATTTACAGATTAAATCAAATGGATTTCTTTTCCATGTACCACTGAAGGTGATGATTAAAGGTGTAGGCACAAATATAGAGTACAGACAATTACAACTTGATTGTTAGTTTTGCAAATGGACCCAAATTCCTTGAGTCTGAGTGCCTACTAATTGGCAAGGAAATTGGTCAGTCAGAAATGATAATAGCTTTGTGAGGATAAAAGTTTAAGCTTCTGGTAAGGGCTTGTTTTCTCTTCTTGTATGATATAAGGGAATTTTAGGTCAACAAACTGCCACTACACTATGTTATCAAATGTTGAGGTATCAACTGGCAGCTCTAGACCTAAGCCCATTAGGACCTAGATAGATAATCTAATACAATAGTTTAGATCACGGGTGTCAAACTCATGCCATTGTGTGACATGTCACAATGTTTTTTCCCCTTCACAGAACTGGGGTGGACATGGCCTAAGTGTGGCCCAAATTTCAGCAAATATTGCTACTAGTGGTTTCGTATTCAAACTTGTTCTTCCTTCCTTTGTGGAACAGATTCTTATTTGTTCCTTTAGAATTTTTCTCTGTGTGCACCAAATTAAAGCCATGACAACTTATTTTTCTGCCTTGTCTCTATGATGTCTTCATTTTTCTCTCCAACCTGTAGAAACCCATCCTTTCTTCTGCCAGTATTATAACAGTCTTCTCATCCTTATTCTGACTCAATCCAAGATCAGCCTCAAAGTGCACCACATTTGTTAAAGTTTGTAATTTGCAAGGTGATCTGGTGGTTGTAGTAAATGGGAACAGAAACAACAGAGCCAGGAATGGGGTCAGCAAATATTATGATGATACAGTTTTCTGCCAAGTCAAAATTGGTTCATGATACTCCAGCTTAGATGTAGAGAAAAACCTCCAGCATCTTCTAAAATCGCCCAACCAATACTGTGCCTATATAACTTTGCCTTAACAATAATAAAATGACAGCAGAAATGGTGATTATTGTAGGGTGGGAATGGCCGTTGAATTATAGCAGAAACCACAGTCTTTGTGGATTTATTTGTTTCTCTTGTACACCCCAAATTTTGTTATGCTGTCTCACTATCTAGCAAATGGATGCTTTTGCCTGTAGCTATGAAGTCTTGACTAAACCTAGAATAAAATAAACAATGGAATAAGTATCAGAAATGCCTGCAGTAAAGCAGTCTGAGCAAAGTATTTTATATACTATTGTTGATGTAATGATTTTGTTAAAAAATCTCATTGAATACTTTTTATATTCTACATATTATTATAATATGTAGTTTGCTTAAAAACACTTTTTAATTGAAATTTGGGGTTCTGTGTCTTAATGACAGTAGGCCTGACATTCAAAATACTTTAAAATACTGCTTTAGATAAACCACTTGATCCACTCTAATGATTCGTCCTGGGGCTATAGGTACTTTGTGAGCTGAGAGATGCTGTCTGATGGGCTAAATAAAGTTTTCCCTTGGGTGGGGGCTTGATCCAGATTGCTGATAAAAAGATGAGAAAAAAAAGGATAATAATTCATGGGGAGAGCAACTCCAAAGGAAGTTTTGTTCATTCAACAGCCTGGTGGCAACTGCATACTGAACACATACAATTGTAATCTGGGGGGAGGGGAGGGGGCTAGTCAGATGACTCATATGACAAACACCTGGAAGTCATTAGATTTAAGCCCTCCCCAAGCTCTGGACTATAAAGCATAGCAGATTCTTAGCCTGGCACTTGGTATTCCACCAAGCAACTACTGGGTCACCTTTCTCAGTAGCAGTAAGTGCTGTGGTTCGTTGGCGCTGTCAGACTGGCTGCTTGCCTCTGCCTGGATGTTGCTTTAATTCAATTTTATACATCCAGATCGATTATGGGGCGGGTGCTATGGGTTACGTAGATGTCTCCTTTGCCTTCTATGGTCTTCTCTAGCGGGACGTGGGAGGAGAACCTTCGCATTCATCCTTCACTTTTTTTCTTCTCTCGCTTCCTCTCTTACCACAGCTTCAGAGAACTTTGAAACAGGCGCAAAAGCGGGAAAGGAGCGCTCTCGCTTCTCTCGACGGTATCCTCACCGCTGCTCTGCTAGGATTCTTCGGCGGGAGAAAAAGCTGGAAATGAAGAAGGTCGTGCTGCTTTTGGTCATGCTCTTTCTATCATCCGCGCATGCCGTGGGGGAAGAACTGGGAGACCAGCACGAGCTGAACTACTGGGCGGATTGGTCCGACGGAGGCGAGCAGAACCAGGTGAGACGAAGCGACAACTTTGGGGTATCCCCGCAACTTAGGTTGCGTTTGAAAATGGGCGAGGCCGAGGATGCTGGATGGCGGGGCACGGGTGGGCGAGGGAGCAAAGAACAAAGCGGGAAGGAGCTGACAGTGTAAATGGGCATCCCTGACGCCGCCAGCTTTTGGCAGGTGCGCCAAGGAATGTTGGCCGTTCGCGCTCAGCCGAGGCGACGTCGGGGCGAATTATCCGCTCTATTCCGCCTCTCTGCATCCTCCTTTCGGCCCAGGCGAGTGCGCCGGATTGTGCTGACGGAGCGCCACGTTCTCCTTTCAAAATTGAGGTCGCCGGTGAAAAAGAGCGATTGCTTCCTGGCGTCGCTCCTTCCCGCGCGCTTTCTAGCAGTTGTTGCGTTTTTAGCGTGAGTAAACGCATCAGAGTTTTTAATCTTACTTTTTTAATGTGCCATGGATGTCCTATTTAGGGTGCCATATCACCAGGCAGCCTTTCTTCATTTTGTTCTCATCACAGCAACCCAGTGAGGTAGGCTGGTCTTAGAGATAATCGGAATTTGGCGAAATTGTATGTTGTTAATCCACCAAATCCTATTATTGTGTCCATAGAACGGGACTAATTTCAAATCGCTCTTTACTGCAATTATTAACCAGAAGAGGATTTCTTTCTTTCAAAGAAAACATAAATATGTCTAAGGTATGATTCTAAAAATGGATTTGGGAGCCAAATTGTGAAATCTGCATATGACAGAGCAAAGTGGTTAGCAAACTTAAAAGTTATTTGAACTCAAGAAAAACAGGGATTTCTTAAACTAAAAGCTTGAATGGGGGTGTAGGGAAAAAATTAAAAGTTGCAAGCAGTCCATCATTAGAACAACATGCTTAGATGCTCCTCTACATGCAGAAACAAAGTCTTTTCTTGTCTGGAGGAAGCCAAGCAGTGTAGATCACAAATGGGAAAAAATAGCCCTCAACCGAGTTGAGAATCTAAAATCACCCAATGTAGTATGATACCCATACATAAGAAGACTGTGTTCATATCTGAAAAAAAGACAGCAAGAGTCATCTTATCTGATCACAGGTCTTTTTCATGCCAGAATAACATCACTTCTCTTTACTGCCATCATCTTTTCTGAATTGCTCCTTCCGCAAAATGTAGGGAATGTCTACATCTGGCAACTTAATTAAATGGAAAGATATATTAAACTTTAGGGAAAGATATATTGAATTCCATTATATTACTTGCTTGTCCTGGTTTTCAGGTTGTGTTTCTATCTGCATTAGGAGAACAATAACAAATTTGCCTATAAGATAGGTTAAAACCCCAAGGCCAAGCCCCTTCTTCTCATCTATTCATAATATTTCCTTTCCAGGCCTCTATAACCAACACCATCAATATTCCCTTCTTATAATGTTGGATGATATGGTATTTTCTTTGGATGGCATTGTATATCCTCAGTCAATATACTGATCATTCCTTTAACCATAGCTTGCTGACCATAATTGGGTGAAAAATAAAAGTAATTGCGAATAGGAATTGCATATGTCATGGGAAGAAACCATTTGAGAAAACAATAACATACACGTTTTTTAAAGAAATAGACCTTAAAGCTGTTTAATTTGAGACATGACTTTTTTCTCTTATGTTTACATAAGACAATAATTCTTGCATTTCAAATAAGGAGTGAGAACAGGAAAAATTATACCTGCGCCTATTTCCCTTAAATAATTTTCAAGGAAAGAGAAAATGCCAATTGAAATGATTAGTTTTTGCCATTGGGAGAAGCCTTAATTCCCAACTCCCATTACAATTTAAAATCCATGTTTGCTTCTAACAAAAATAAAACAGTGTACCAGTATCATTTTTATTTTATCAATCACCGGCATCTCATCTAACATGGCCTTATAAGTTCGTTCTGGACAGAAATTAAAAAGCTGAAGAAATGAATATGTTAGCAATTAAATGTAATAGGGAAAGTAAATATTCATATTGAAATTATTGTGCTTATTTGCTTAAACTCATCCATTTATCAAGTTGAATTCATTGGGTGTTAGTATATTTATAAGTATTCCAGCTCTTTTCACTATTTAATACCAATTACATAAACTGCTCAAATTTACACAATTATATGAAGCTATATTATGGAAAGAAGAATCAAAGATATTTGACATAAAGATGCCCAGTATAAATCTGTATTCAAATCCCATTAGAGCTTTATTTGATATGATAAATGATATGAAAGTACTGTTAAACAATTTAATATTCAAAGGGACCTGATGTGGTGCTATCTACAGATGGTCCTGTTTGCTCAATTGGCACTATATTCCATCATAATATTTTACTGATTCCTATGGAAAAAGTTGAAACATAATTTTTGGATCCAAAATTCACAGATTCATGCTGGCTGATAGTCATGTATCTTTTCTGTAAAATATAATCTCCAGAGCAACCTACCCATGTCATTGTATAAGCAATCATAAAACAGAATACTTAAGAAGATATGAAGCTGCCCTGGTTGTATCAGACCTTGGTTCATTTAATATTCCTCGCTACCATCTTCTAAGTCAACACCTGTCAGACAATCTCATGGTTTATTCATAAAATACATCCATAATTTATAAGTGATCGAACAAGTTCATTGTTTCATACTTTTTGCAAGGGATTAAGATGGATTATCTAGATACAAAAAAAGTTAAGAATGAAAACAGATCACATTCTAAACCCACTATACTTGTTTTTAAAACTTTACTCAACCAATCTATTAATTTTGAACCCAATCTTGACTACTTTCAGCTCCTAATTTTCAATGCCCTCTTGTGGCCTACATGTACCTAAATGCAGGAAGCTTTTGATCCTAAATTAACATTTACATCAATTTGCTCATTTGAATTTAGAGGGGGGGAAATCCCTTTCCTTTGAGATAAGCTGCTTTTGAATGTGAAAGGTAAAAGAAACCTCAGAATATGCTAATCTACTAGGTTAAGTGCTTTTTGTTATTTAATGGGTGCCACATTTTATAAGTGAAGCTGAGCTGAAGCTGAAAAAGTAGTCTTTTTATATTTCTGTTTCAGGAAAAGTTGCCTTTCCCTTTTGAACACTTTCTTCAGAGGATTGCCAGAAGACCCAGACCTCAGCAATTCTATGGGTTAATGGGCAAACGGGATGCTGGTAAGAACCATTTACATTTCGTATTTAGGTGCAGCTAAAAATGATTCAAATTAAAAATATTTAATAAAATAAAGCATGTATTCTCTCAATTTAGTGTTTATAATTAGTATATTTATTATTCATTATTTATTTATAGTTATTTAAAATATTTATTTTGATTCCATTAAAAATGTTTTAGGAATATTCTTAATATCATGAAACATATTTTTGTACATTTAGCAAGACACCATAGAAAAAACTAAGTATGTAAAATAAGAGTCTTACTTCCTACAAATAAATTATGAATTTTGAAAGAAATGAAATGAAAATCCTGAATAAAATCAAGGTTGCAGACATGCATCAAATGGAATGTCCTTTACTCAAGAAAAAATAATATGAGAATCATATAAAAAGCATATCCCATTTTATAATGGAGCACATACAGTAAACACTCCTGGGATATTGTGCCTAGACTAAAAAGGTTTCACATCCATGAATTATTCAGAAAACAATTAAGGCATTAATTGCTACACACCAATATTGTGGTTCTTTGAAATGCTTTCCTTCTTTTTTAAATGATAAATCATGATATGCACTTGGTAATTATTTTGTTTTTTGATTTCCAGGATATACCCCTGTCTCACGCAAAAGTAAGTTGGAATTGGTTTTATTTATGAATTTATATCCTGCTGTTATTATTTTCATAAATATCTCAAGTTGACAAACAAACAATACTCCTGACTATTCTTCCTTTTTCCTTTGGGTTGATCTGGGAGAGTGTGATTTTCTTCCCATTTTCCTGTGCACCATTAATCAATTACTTCTATATAAGATTCATCCAGAATTGCAAATATATATTTGATTCTAGGAAAATTGTATCAAAGCCAGCATTTCCAGTGAATGCATAGAAATCTTGGCATATATTCAAGGGCCCTTCATGAACAAGATATGTTCAGAAATTCCAAATAGAATAATCCATTCTTACCCTGTACTTTAGAAGAGAGTAATTTCAGAATAAGATTTTTCCAATCTAGCATAATCCCTGTGCATACCTAGTTAGAAATTAGTTCCACTGAGCATAGTAGACATGAAAATGGACATTAAGACCAACAGTACTTTTTCAGCAGTACAGTTGAGCAAGGAGTGGGACCAAAGGCCCCATTCTTTTAAAACAGCTTTCTGTACATGTGACTAGCACTCTCATTGGCTGATTTGTTCATTTTCAGCTTGTGTATATTATATAACTGTTTAAATTTTCATTTATGGTGGAATGATGTTTTAATTTTACTGATCTTTAGTCATTTACTGATATTAATCATAGCATTGGTTTTTTGGATTGATTTCAGCAGAATACAGAATAAGTTCCTTCTTCATATTCCTCAGCAAATATTCCATTAAATTCTAGAGGCTAATATCTAAGCAAAAATATATAAGAATATCTTTCTAGGGCCAGTCTTAGCATATACTGTATCACTTATTAAACTCACAATATCCCTTATTAACATTTAGCACCATCAGTGGCATTTACTTGCAATACAGCTTAAGTTTATAACCCTAGTTTGACACAATTTGACAGTTACTTGGAAAATGATAACTTTTAAAGCAATTTGAAGAAGTAGAACCAACATTGTTATTAGTGAAAGTTATTAATCAAACTGGATAAGCAATCTTTGCATGAATAAAAAATCTTGCCAAAATTATTAACTGTCCACTGAAGCTCATTTATACAAATTATTTCATTACTAAATGGAAGTGAGCTACCAGAATGAATGTTAATTACATAACACATACTACCAGTGGAATACTGATTAGGATATGGAAACATAGAAACAGAAGCTATAGAGGAAAAAGGTAACAGTCCGTACCATATGGACATATAGCAACAGGGAAAATATTTCTAGCTTTGCTTTCTTTTTGATGTGCCAGTATAGGTTAATCATCTTAGACAGAAATGGTCTTCCTTTTGGAAGAGAGCTTGCAATGTTAAAAAGGGGGGAAAGAAGAAAAGATTAATATGATAGATAATGCAGCATTGCTAGGTCAGGTTCTCTGACGTTGGTACCGCCTGGAAAGAAACATCAAACAGGCTATATGATGGATTTTCCTCAGAAAGGATGTTTACATCCTTTCCTGAACTTCTACGTTCTGTTTATAACAAATGCTGGATATACAAGTTATTACTTATAACTAATTATTTGCACATTATTCTAAACAAGCAAAAAATATGAACAAAATCAGTTATGTACTGTATATACTCGAGTATAAGCCTAGTTTTTCAGCCCATTTTTTGTGCTGAAAAAATCCCCCTCGGCTTATACTCGAGTCAGATTCCCCTCTGAAAAAAAAATGGTGTGGAGTCGCGGCCTCCGGCGGCAGCGACTCCCAACAGCCCCAGCCGGGAAGGGAAAGGCAAAAAGCGCTTTGCCTTTCCCTTCCCGAGGCGGCGGGACTGGGGCCACGCCGGCGGTAGTGACTCCTGACTCAGGGGGCCTCCGAGGGAGGGGAAGAGAGTGACTCCTGCCTCCCGCTGTCATCATCATCTTCTTCTTTTGGGTTAGTGAATCAATTAAACCTTTCATGATAGTGAGATCGTTTCCCAAATTAATTATTTTTATTTTTTGAAATTTACCAGTAGCTGCTGCATTTCCCACCCTCGGCTTATACTTGAGTCAATAAGTTTTCCCAGTTTTTTGTGTAAAATTAGGTGCCTCGGCTTATATTCGGGTCGACTTATACTCGAGTATATACGGTATATCCTGTAATACCGTAGTAATAGCATTTAGATTTATATACCATCCCAAAGTGCTTTACAGCACTCTCTGAGTGATATGCAATGTCAGCATATTGTCCCCAACAATCTGGGTCCTCATTTTACTGACCTCAGAAGGATGGAAGGCTGAGTCAACCTTGAACCAGTCAGGATCGAACTCCTGTCTGTAGAGAGTCAGCTTGCAATACTGCATTCTAACCACTGTGCCACTATGCATAGACCCTCTAATGTGAGAAGAGAAATGGATCCATTCAGGCTGTTCAGTTTTCTATTATTGTCTCTATTTGTACCTCAGATTAAGTTTCACTGATTCTTCATTCCTAAAACTTTTAGGGATAAGATTCTTTAAACAAAGCAAGGCTTACTTCTGAGCAAGCTCATGCAGGCTGTACTACGAAATCCCAATTTTATAATCACAGGGTAATATTTTATTATGAAACAATGAATCTGATATTTTTCTCCAGGACACTTTGTTGATAAAAAGAGCTGTCACTTTATCTATTTAACATAAACTACTCCCAGTGTGATTTCAAGTTCTGCCATACCCTGACATCAAAGCTTAGTAGCAAATCTCCCACCAAACTGATTTATTTTAATATAGGTGGAAAACAAAGGCAAACTTTCTTGGATAAACTTATTACTCTTTAATCCCACCTGGTATCATAGCTTTATTCAATTTCATAATATAACTATTTTATTTACTGAAGTCCTTAGGGATTAAAACAAATTAAAAGAAAATGCATTCCCTGGCTGCTAAAAGGCTGCCTGAAAATTATGGCTGAAATGCCCCATTGAGAACATTGAGACTTATTCCCAAGTAAGTTTACAGATAATAAACCTGTCCAAGGTTCCAGGTGTGTCTTAACATATTCTCTCTGATCCCAGACCTGGTATTAGGATGTTTGTGGAGTTCGAGTCCAGTCTTTTTTCTACATGATGGGAATGCCGTTTTAGTCCAGGAAGTCATCTTATTTTAATTCTGTTTCTTGTGTATGGGATGCATTGTAAGCAGCCCAGAACCTTTTTAGAGGAATCTTAATAAATCCATTACGAGAGACAGAGAGAGAGAGAGAGAGAGAGACAGGCAGGCAGGCAGGCAGGCAGGCAAGCATTGTATTGATTTTTCTAGTATAGTGTGCATTACAGTACATTCATTGCAAGCCAGCTCAGTAAAATAGTTGATCTTTTTTATAAATAGAGCAGAGAATCACAGAGATATGTTAAGCAATCTGATTTTTATACTTTTCTCCAAACTGTCTAAAGCTTTAGCCAAAACCCAAAAGCTTAGTTTACAAGACTAAAATACTATATATTTTATTTTGACTGGGTTTTACAACATATAAAATAGTCTACCAAAGATTTGAAAATGCCTTTGGTGTTCCTGATTGAGTGTTGAATTAAATCTTGGAGATCAGATCTTTTTGAATCACACTTATTTCATCCAAAGCTTCTGCACACTTATTCCACTATATATATTGGCTGCTGTCAAAATTATGATCTGGTAAAGAAAGAAAGAAATCTCACAATGCTTACAAATATGTTATATGCGGAAGGTATTCTGGACCTTGAAAGCCTGGCCATTTATTTTACATTGATCAATAATTTGAAGAACTTTGGGAGAAAACTCTCCAAAGAATAATTTATAATAGGTTGAGATCATATCAAAGCAATTTTTAAAAATGGCACAGGTTTTTGTCAAACAAAGTATATACAATTTGTAAATTGATTGCATTAATAACTTTTAAAAAATGTTAACTGGGTACACAATAAAGAAATAATTATTAGAGAAAGAGAGAATTACACCATTGTAGAAGCAGAAATAGACACTACATATATTAAGAGGCTATATATTTCTAGCCTGGAAACTGCCATAACTTGAGTGGCAAGATTGATGTCAGAGCCAAGCCCAGAAATGTCATAGTAAAATTCAGTCAAGGTCAATCCTTTATTCCAGTGGTCCCCAACCTTTTTTGTACCAGGGACCAGTTTCAAGCACAAA